TTCATTGTTTTTCATACAAGTGCTAACTTTACAGCAAGGAGAGGCCTGATATCTCAAAGGTCACATCTCCTTGAAGAGGCACACAACTTCCTCGAGACTTGCGTTCAAGGCCACTCGTGTGTTTTCGGAAGCACAAGCTGAAACACCCCTTCCTACATAATTGCACGAGGCAAAGGTTTTAATGACAGATAAGTTATCGTAGCCTTCTATTACAAATAAATCCTTGTCATACATCATTGCCTTCCAAACTTATTTGGTTTGAGGGTGACAAATTTATGTCTCAAGCATCATAATGCATAGATACACATACTATGCCTCCCTGAGCTTATTGTTGCTACATAATCATCATAGTAGCATGTCGATGGTATGTTACATAATTAGGTTTTCTTACATACTTATATGAATCAATGCCTCTTTGCCATTACAGCAAACATGAAGGTTTTTAAAAGGTTAGCCAAACAACCCCTTAGTTACCTCGATTTTGCCATCTTTATTATTTTCTCCTTTTCATTTACGAAGATTTTTATCTTTAAAACCAATTGGTCTACCACGCTTTAGATGTGCCTTTAATTCATTGTTAGTAGTAGAAGGTCTTTCAGGGACATCAATTCTAATTGGTTCATTAGCAGCCGATACATGTGACTTAGTCAAATGTTTTAGGCCACTAAAAGCATCTGACAATTGATTTGCTAAACGTTGTAAATGAATTATCTTTTGAGTTTCAAGTTCACATTGACCTATACGAGGATCAAGATAAAATAATGTTGATTCATTCCAAGTTATTTTCTTATCCAACTGTTTAAATTCTCCCTTGATGCCGGGAAGGCTGACTCATCAAAATGACATTCAACAAAACGAGCAGTAAATAAAAGTTTCAGTTCTAGGCTCAAGATATCTTATAATAGATGGAGACTTATACCCAACATGTATTCCCAACCTCCTTTGAGGTTACATCTTTGTGCGTTGTGGTGAAGCAATTGGAACATAAACCGCACATCCAAAAATTCTAAGATGGGACATATTAGGTTGGTGACCAAAAATTATTTGTTGGGGAGAACATTCTTGGTAATTTGTTGGCCTTGTGCGAATTAATGCAGCCACATGCAATACAACATGACCCCAAGCTAATATTGGCAACTTTGTTCTCATAAGTAATGACTTTGTAATTAATCGAATATGTTTAGCAAAAGATCCTGACATGCCATTTTGTCTATGAACGTAAGCTACATGATGTTCAACTTAAATCCCGATAGACATACAATAGTCATTAAACGATTGGGATGTAAATTCACCCACATTATCAAGATGAATTGTCTTGATAGGATTATCAGGAAAATGGACTTTTAACCGAATTAGCTCGGCTAATAATTTCGCAAATGCTAGATTGCGAGTTGATAACAAGCACACATGTGACCATCTTGTGGATGCGTCAATTAAAATCATAAAAGATTGAAATGGGCCACAAGGTCGTGAATAGGCCACACATATCTCCATGTATGCGTTCTAAAAATGTTGGAAAATCATATTGAATTTTCACTGGTGATGGCCTTACAGTTAATTTTCCTTGAGAACAAGCAACACATGGAAATTCATTTGATTGAATAATCTTCTAGCTCTTTAAAGAATAACCGTATGAATTCTCCAGTGTTTTTCGCATCATAATATAATCGGAATTGCCTAACTAGTCATGCTAAATGACAAAATCACCATAATTAGTAAACTTCGGTTCATTGTTGTATAAGTTTCAATGGCTGTGATATTTGTGTAATACAGTCCATGAGAATATGAAAGTAATCTTTCTAAGATAATTGTTCTTCTAGAAATTATATTTATAATATACAAGTATTCGATATTATCTTCACAACTTATTTCAACATGATATCCATTTCCGCGAATACCTTTAAAACTCATCAAGTTTCTATGAGATTTTGAAGAGTATAATTCATCATCAATGCAAAATTTTGTCCCTACTGGGAGAATTATATTTGCTCTTCCGGAGCCTTCAATTTATTTTATACTACCAGATATAGTACTAACATGAGCTTCCTTCATTATAATTTATAAAAATATTTTTTTTCTTTAAGGATAAAGTGTGTAGTTGCACTGTTTGCCAGACACATTTCTTTACCATTGTCCATTGAAACGTCAATTTTTTCTTCAAAAAACAAGATCAAAATTTCAAATGATATACTACATTCTGTTATTCTAATATTGCATCTATCAAATTATAAAAGATTTTAAGATATAAAACATCAAATAGTTCATTATATCAAATAACTTGTGTTATGATTCATTACAAGGAAATAATAGAAACAATTTCATTTTAAACATCAAATGGAAATTGATTATGCTTAAATATAGAATATAAAACTACTCTTGGACATTTCCGTCATTAGCCATGCGACTAGTTTGACCTTCAGGGTGATTGACAAGAAATTGGCGACAGCCAAAGAAGTAAAATTAGTGAAACCATTGTTTACAGGACTATGGTCAAATCCAACATTATTACTAATAAAATTAGTCTCTATCTTCTTTTCTTTTTTCTTTATTGATTCTTGATATAGATCGGCAAGATGATTAGGCTTACGATAGATACGGGACCAATGGTTATTCATGCCACAACGGAAGCATTTACTCTCACGTTTCTTTTTATTTCCATCTTTCTCGTTACTAGTTCTCAGCTTCTGGTGGAAAGTAGTATTTTAGTTTTGACCACCATAACTGTTGAAATGGTTTTTACCATATCCTCGGTCACGACTACGACCACCATGCCCACTATTTTGTCCATTATTTGGATTTACAACTGTTGTATTTGCTTCAGGAAATGGAGTAGCACCAGTTGGGCGAGTCTAATGGTTTTTCAATAAAAGCTCATTATTTTGTTCAGAAACGAGCAGAACCTGAATCGATTCAAAATATTTTGTGTAACCCCTTTCACGGTATTGCTGCATCAGGAGCATATTTGTGGGGTGAAAAGTGGAGTATGTTTTCTTCAACATTAGCGCATCACTTATTTCATCACCACATAATTTCAAGAGTGATGTGATAAGGAAAACTGCGGCATTGTATTCACTATCAGTTTTGAAATCTTGAAAACGCAAGTGTAACCAACCATGACGAGCTCTAGGCAGTATAACCGTCTTTAGGTAATTATATCTTTCATTCAAACTCATCCATAAGACAAATAGATCTTCAACAGTTAGATATTTAGTTTTCAACTGTTCATGAAGGTGGCGGCAAAGCATAATTGTGGCTTTAGCCTTCTCTTGATTTGTGGCCTTGTTGCCTTCTTTGATAGTCTCTCCAAGTCCATTAGCATTTAGATGTACTTTGGCATCAAGAACCCATGATAAATAATTTTCTCTGGAAACATTAAGAGCTATAAACTCAAGTTTTGTAAGGTTGTTGGACATGGTATGAAAATAGAACGGGCTTTTAGAACTTACCGAAAAGGAGGACATAGAAAGTTGGCTAGAGTACTTTCGTGTTGATAACGTGTTTAAAAGAAATGCAAAACAAAAGGAAATGCAAACAAGACAATGGAGAAATAGAGGAATAGTCGTAAGATTTTTTGGGTGTATTTTTCTCATTCATATTTTGGCCTCTATTTATAGGCTTATAAATCTTTACAGTGTCAGATTACATTTAACGTCCATAACTTACGTAAATAAGATATGGGTAGTAAGGAAACATAGTGGTAATAAGAGTTAAACTTTAAGACAATTATATACATTGAGTGAAAGACATCAACAATAAATATGTTTCATAATAATGAACAAATTTAAGAAAAATAGTGGTAACTAATCCTTTTTTTGATAAATAAGATTTTTCGTTTATGGTTATTATAAGGGGTATATTTGATTTTGCATACTTTATTTTGCTTTTATCATAAACAATTTTCTATTGAAATGATACATAAGGGACATATCTTCTGTTGACTATTTGTCAAAGGGGTCTTTTTCCTTAAAAAAAACATTGAGGGTGTAATTATCTTTTAGGACATAATTCGGTGGGTTAATTGTCCTCGTCCCTAAAATGAATTCTTCATTGTTTAGTGCGTAGCATGGGAAACTTTTTATTAGTTCCCATCCAATTTACAAGTTTGGGAAAAATACAAGGAGAATTTTGTGTATTTCTTAAATCACAAGTGTTCCGGTATACTTTCTGAAACCATGAGGGTTTTTGCGTATTACTCCTATTTGTTTTGGGCTAATTGGGCTATTCTTTTTTTCGCCCACATTTTCTTTTTTTTTTTAATTACAAGTTACAATTTACAACTACTCTATTTAGTCAAAAAAAAAAAAAACTACTCTAGGGTATAACTTCGTGGGGTTATATCCTACTATATTAGAAACAAAAACCTCCCTTTTAAACACCTCATTTGATTGCCACGTGGCATGTAGAAAGTACTAAATTGCCCTTTTGTCTAACCATAACTAAATTACTAAATTTCCCTTTCCACTTTACGTGACACTTTTTTTTTATTTTATTTTTTCTTTATGTTTCATTCAACTAGAGTAGTTTTTTAAATTGAATTGATCAATTAGGTTTTTGTTACAAAGTGTCAACTTTGTTTTAAGCGTATACCCTTTGGATGAAGCTTATTACAAAACTATTAAAAATCTCCAAAACTAAGTATTGATTTGACACGACCAATGGAGAACATCAATAAATCATCTTACTAATATTTAAATTTATTAGGATATTTTTATATTTTATTTAACATTTACTTCAACACATTTATTCGATTAAGGCTATTTATATTTAATAAGTAACACTTATAAAACATTTCTAAAACATATATGGCGAAATACAATTTCTTTTTTTTTTGTGTGAAATACAAATATTTCTATGATCACACTTATAAAACATTTTTAAATCCTTCAAACATTTCTAAAATATATCTCTACAAATACAAAATTTTATTTTTTTCAAATATAAATATTTCTAAGATCTACAGATAGACTGGGCTAGGGTCGCGCATTGCGCGACCAGACATCACTAGTATATATATAATCCTGCCGTATTTGCCTCACCATGAGTTTTATTTTGTGCTCCGAAGTTTCTACAGCTTTATTTACCATCTCCAACGTTGAACACCAGATCCAACAACCTCAGAAACACAACCACCCAAAAAAAGGGGGAAAAAAAAAGAGGGGCAAATTTAGCAAGGAATTGACCGTCATGATTCCCCAACCCACTCGATCGTGGAAGAGGAAGCGGGGCAACACTTCTGGATCTAGCCGCCGAAAGTCGAAAGCCACACCCAGATCCTCACGAAGCCGCAATACTTCCAGATATAAACGTAGTCGACCAATCGGCCCGATGGATCGGAAATCGCCTGACCCGTATCCAATCAGTGCGACCGATCGGGAATCTGAATCACGGCCTGTCTCTAGTTCTTCCGATGAAGGAGAATCTCTTGATCTCTCTGACTATGGATGCTCAGTCGAGGATTATTATCCCCACCTTAACGAAGGTGCGAAACTCTTGAATCCTAAATCCATCGATGAGGATCTTTTCTTCAATCTACTAAGATCTAGACGCTTTTTGGGAGACAAGGGTTCCCTGGCTTTTGGTATTATTATGCGAGACGAGGTGTTGGTAGCTTTCAATCACTCAAAACCAGGTACTGTGTGTTGTCTGCGCAATCTTTTAGTTTACCTGAATTGCTTTGTCATAAAGTTGGTATATGGGATAAATTACGTCTAAGTTTGCTAGTTATTAAATACTCCATCACAAGTGTGGATTTTTTTTTTTTTTTTGGGGGGTGGGGGAATAGAGGGAGTAAGCATATTTGTATCATTTGTTTGATTAATGGATTTGGGAAATAATATAGAGAAGTTGCTCATCAGTATCAGCTTGTTTACTGGATTCAGGTTTAGTCAGAACAGTAGCACTTATCTAACGCTCTCTTCTCTCTCTTCATCATCTATCAGTTTGTCGTACTCACCGAGACCTTAATGTTGTTGGCCCTCGCGCTTTTGCTGCTATCTCTGGAGGAACAGTTCGGGCCTGCCGACGACTCTTGCAACAACTGCGTGAGAAGGTAATTCTTTTTCATTTTTATTTTGCTAAAATTCAAATCTTTTTGGTATCTCTGTTCCCTAAAGGGATATGAAATGCTTGTTTTAATGCGTTTATGTGGTTTTGGTGATTATCTCTGTTTTGCTCATGATAGTGTATGGAACACGGAGAGTATAACAGTGGTGCGTCTGTTGAGAAGGCAACCCAGTTGATGTCTGAGTTGGTGAAGGGCAGCCGTTTTGTGGGTCTCATTGCGGGTTGGGATGACCCCACAGATCTTCCTGCCTTGTATCTTGTGGATGGATTGGGGGCGCGGATTAAAGGAGAAAAAATATTGGCCACGGGATTCAGTTATACATCTATCTACGCTGCCATGGATTTGGAGGGTCTTGTTGAGCATTTAAATGAGGATCATCTAAACTACATTCTGGACTCCCCTTTTGATGAAAAAATTTATTCCACTTGGTCTGGTTGGTCTCGCGGTGAGGTTGGGAAGTTGGCCATTAGACAATTGTGCATGACGGCCTGTAATGCTCCCTATAGTGGAAAATATGCTAGTGTGTATAGTGTAGGCCGTTATGGGGTGAATCAGCTAGATTTTAACAAATCAGTAAAACGGCTTGCACGAGAGCATAAGTTGCTTGTCTCTATTTGTAGGCCCGGAAGGGGAGTGCATCCTGGAATATATGCGTACAAATATGCTGATGATAGTGGTGGTGATGAGAATAGTGCCGAGGACAGTGAGGACATTACCAATGAGGACATTGCGAAGGACAGAGCGGAGAAGAAAAAATTGGTCAATCTATTTTAACCTTTACATTCATTGTCAATTTTACTCTATTTTTTTCATTAGCTAATATTACCCTAAGCTATTCAACTGTTAACCGATTTTGTCTAATTTGCCAATTTTTGTTTAAATTAACGGATTTTTTATTAGTTTTAATTACAAAAATATCCTAATAGTTTTAAAAATTATAAAAATGATCCTAAAAATTTGTAAAATTAATAAAATAGTCATTTTTCACTTTTTATTTAATTTTTTTTTCTGTTTTCTATTTCTTTTTACTATTTTTCATAACTATTAAAATATACTATATGATCTTTTAGAATAAAAATTTATTTTTAAACAATACTACACAAATTTATAGATATACATATTTGTAATTCATGGTTGATTTACATAAACATATTAATTTTTCTAATACTATGACTAGAAAATAATGATATTAGTTTTCTAATCCATTTTTTTCAATTTAAAGAATAAGATTTTTTTTACTAAAACTAATTTTTTTACAAAAAATAAAAAAATTTAGCATAGATTAAAAAATAATCGGCCGAATTTTCTGTTTCATGAGAATAGATATAAGATTAAGTCTCACCAAAGGATTTCTAACTGGGAGAGTGATTTTATCCGTATTTAAGTGGGGTCCACCAAAGGCGGGAGGGTTAGATGGTCATGTGATTTAGTACTGGAATAGATTTTCTTTATATTATTTTTTCTTTTAAGAAAAAAAACTTTCTGCTAAAGTTAGATATATTAATATCTCAAAAAATTATCGCAAAATGTTAAACTCTCGCAATGATAAATATAAATATTTTTTTATAAAATATTTTGTACCATTTTTGTAAATGCCATGACACTATATTCTTGTGTGGGGTCAATGTAGAAATGAAATAGGTGTTTTTTTTTTTTTACTTTCTTTTCGTATTTGGCCTTTTACAGAAAAATTTATATTTTAGTTTTAATTATTTTTTAAATTTTATGATACAATCTAAAGTTTGTTGAATTAAATTGTAATACATTAAAGTATACCAATAACTTCTTTTTTAATCTATGCTAAATGTGTTATCTTTTTGTGCAAAATTAGTTTTAGTTAAAGAATCTTATTCTTTAGATTGAAAAAAATGGATTAAAAAAATAATATCATTACCGTTAAACCATATTATTAAAAACAAATAATATGTTTATGTAAATTAAACATGACTTACAAATATCAAATTATAAATTTGTACATTAGAGTTTAAAAATAAATAGTTTTTTTTAAAAGATCATATAGTATATTTTTATAGTTATGAAAATATTTAAAGAAATAAAAAACAAAAAAAATTAAACAAAAACTGAAAAGAGACTGTTTTGTTATTTTTGTAAATTTTTGGGATCATTTTTATAATTTTTAAAATTATTAGGGTATTTTTGTAATTAAAACAAATAGAATTCCGCTAATTTAAACGGAAAAGAGCAAATTGGACAAAATCGGCTAACGGTTAGATAGTTTAGGGTAATATTGACTAATCGAAAAACAATAAGGTAGAATTGACAACGCATGTAAAGCTTAGGGTAGATTAGCTAGTAAGTCCCTAAACTTTCTTTTTCTTAGAATTTAGTCTTATAATTTAGTCCAGGGCATGACAGATCCTTCCCCTTAAAAACAGTCTTGTTCCCAAGAATGTGTTTCAGAAACAAACTACAGAATACAACTTAAATAACTATGACAGCTAACAATATACTGACACCAAATGCGAATGACTATAAATGAGAGAAATTAGCACTACGGGAATATAAAAATGAAGGATTGATTGATGTATTCAAGGAGACAATTTCTAATACGTGCCAAGCGATAAACCAAATGAAGTTGGTATCGATGCTTACTACCAGTGTGGCAAATCTTCCTTCAAAAAGATTTGTACCTCCTCTAAAAGTTGTCGCCTTCTCGATCCAGCTAAAGGGTAAGTCTTCATTTTTCCAGGATTCATCAGGATTCTACTTTGACACTGCTCTGACAGCTTTGCCCAATTGTGTCTTCATCCCTGCTGAGACTTTCAGTGCAAACACAGGACAATCAGCTTCCATTTTAGACTTTGAAATTTTAAACAAGGTAGTTGCAGCTTCTGTTCCCCACAATTCAGTTGCCACGGTGTTGATAGTGCTTGCCAAAAGGTGCCAAGCAATCTTCCAAACAAAGTTAACTCCATTTCTCTCATGCCATCCTTCCTTTTTAAGTTTTGGAACAGGATGGTTGTCCTCAAAGTTGTTGGAATTCTTGTGCGAGTGATACTTACCCTGCAGTAATGTCAGCCCGGGAATTCTGCAACTACAACTACAAAACAAAAGCATCATTGCACAGCAAACATCAAGCTGACAAATACTACATAGAGCAGTTCCTCCTTTGAATAAGGTTACCATTCGATCCCAACTCATAAGTAATCCAGTTTTAATCCCCTTGTATTCCAGCATCTTAGAAGAATATGAAAGAACCTTGACACACACTACCCGCTGGCTAAAGCGACCCTTGTCCTCAACGAAGAAAAATGAGTCGAAATTCCCCATCCATTGCCAAAGAGATAGTATAGAATCAACCTTAACCTCTGACAGAAATATTTTCAAACTCGAAAGCTCATTTTCAACCCCATATTTAAACAGCACACTAGTTTCCAGTAAGCAACAATCACTTACACAGGGAACCCTATTTCTTTTCTTAAAGTCAAAAGCATATTCATCATCATAAACAGACCCAACCAATTCAAGTATATAAGATATAACTTCAACAACCAGCCATACGATTTTCCAACCAAAATTCATAGGAGACGCACAATATCTCTCCTTAACAAACTCAACATTGAAAGAACAATTTCCAATCAGTTTGGCTTTACCTCTTGTCAAGTTATCCTCATTCCACTTAAGTTCCACTGTTCCAGTAATTAAATAAGCAACTATTTCACTCGAACCAATCACAAGAAGACCTAGATAGTTTCTATTCATCATACAATTTCCACAGTCACTATCTTCGGTTTCAGATTCATAAGTGATATCAGCAGGAGCAATCTCAGATAGCAAATTCATAGTATTCTTCAAATGCCAATATTTAGGCTCCAATTTAACATAAATGGTATCAATCACACTGGTTATATCCACCTGAGTACCATTTCATCCTTTTAAAATCTTATAATTAACATTCAGATTATGATATAAAGCATCAATGCTACTGGAAATCGCGATCTCATCAATAACAACATCAAACCCACCTTCCTTGGAGGAAAATCTTCACATACCGTAGTTCTTTTTTTGAAAATTAAAGTATCATCAACACTTAGCTCAGTTTCATACGAGGAGTTACCATTCCATTCATCAATTGGCATCATCTCATTAGAGATCATACTACAGTCACCAAAATCAACATTCATAGCGCATTCTGATCCACCAGGGTCAACATGAATGGATTGTATACACTTATATCATCAACAAAATCATTTAAACTCAAGGAATCATCACCTGATTCCAAAAATTCATCAATAATAGTGACTATAGCATCATTACTAAATATCATATTAGCATCAATCATTTCAGAATCATAACTGTAACCCAATTTAGCCATAGCAGTATCAACTAAGTGCATTTTACCATCATGTTCTTTATTCTTTTCTAGGCTAAAAACCCTGATTATGTGAACAAAAAGAAACAAATGAAAAGAAGATAGTTACTTAGGTTTTGTTGATAGAAGAGTTGAATGGGAAAAGCTATCCCCTTTCTCCTAGCCGGAGGCTACTACAATTATCTTTACTCTTTGACGGTTGTTCTTCTGAGTTTTTATAGATATGCAATGGCCGGCCCTGTTCGGCTCGATTTTCTATTAACCGTTAGCAATCAGAAATATTTTCCTAATCATTATATATATTAAAGGAAAGAAAGATAATCGATATGTGTCGCTCATTGAGACCATCAAGTCTCAATTAACACGTGTCATTTGCTAATTGGTTGATCATTAATCAGTTAAAATTTTTTTGTAAACAGTTAATAAATTATTTACTACTCCCTCCGTCCCACAAAAATAATCCAATTTAATAAAAAATCTTGTCTTAAAAAAATAGTCCAGTTTAATAAAAGTCAAAATTCATTGAATTGAAATGACTTAAATATCCAAAAGAGTAGTGGTATGAAAAACAAGGTTTACTTCCTTTGATTTTCATTTTTTTTAGTTTTCTCTTCTTTTTTTAAATGATTATATATTTTAATACATGAATAATTAAAAAATGTGTCATATATCAAATTAATCTACATAACGAGATCTTTCCATCAAGATCCATTGTCAATATTTTTTGAGATAAAAATTTTGATCAAATTTAAGTTGTAAAATAAATGCATATGTAGTTAACTTTTATAGAAATAACTAGAAGGGACATTAGCGGAAGTTAGGGGAATGAAATGAGTTGTACATTTGGTAAGTTAACCAAATTAAAAAAGTTGTACAGTTTCAAACTGGACTATTTTTGTGGGACGAAGGGAGTATATAAGATTTTTACAGATATTACAAATTCCTGATTGTGAGCTTGAAAATGAATATTTTTGAAAATTGCTGAGAAACTCCCGACTTCAAAAGTCCTTTCATTTACGAGTTTAAACTTTCAACCTATTGTCATTTTAACCCTTAAAGTTCTATTTGTGTGCTATTTAGTTTTCAAGTTAATCGATTTTACATTTTCAATGACGATTAATTATGTCTCATATTTTATTAGAACTACATCTAATCTTCAAAGTCCACTTGCCTATAAAAATAGGCCATATGTATCTAGACATAATATACATATTTTTTAAATATATTTTTTAAACCAAACATAACATTAGTTAGTGGTGACAATTTTTATTATACAACTTTTGAAAATCTTTGTTGTAATATTTTTTACCAGATCTTACAAATATACCTCTCATAAATAATATCAATACCTCTCATTTTGATTTAAAAGTGATTAATCAAAAAAATCTTACAGTTCTAAGAAATATTAGTAACTATATTTTTTTAAGAGAGTAATGACGGTATATTTGTAACTACATTATCTAATCAATTCTTTTAAAATATAAATTTTCAACATTGACAAAACCGCGCAAAATGCGAGACACACACTAGTTGATGTGAAGATGAAGGAGTATGTCAGACATTTCTTATGTAGGCGGTTGATTTTGGACGGTGGAAGCCGGGGAAGAAACTACGGGTGCTAATTTGACGGGTTGGGTTCTGAAGCTTCGACGTCATTTTGTAGTTTGCTGGGGCATTAAAACGACGTCATTTTGAAACGATGTCATTTTGATGTTCAAGGATGAAATGCTTGGCTATAGGTAACGTGCGAGGAAGTTTTTGCCATGGAGGGGAATTTTTTTTTTTTTTTTGGGGCTTAGTGTTGTTAATTTATATGTTTATGTTTTGCCTATTTTACCCCTTATTAAAATTGCTGATGTCATCATTAGCCTCCCAACCAATCAAAATATTGTAATGTAATTGAAATAGGTTCTTTTATAAGAATAAAAAGATAAATTGGCACAATTTTATCCAAATCTTTAAACATAAATTCTATTTAAGAACATCTTTTTACACTGTCGGAGTCGCCTCTAAACTCTAAAGTCTAAGTAGACGACGAGCCCTCCATTCTGAGAATCTGGTTCCGCCACTGTTGGACACAGTTTCCCATCTCATCAAGTTCCAAATCAAACAAAGTAAAGCTTTAGAATTTTCCACTTGATAAGCTACAAACCGCCCGATTTATATACTAAGGTCATCAAGAAATTCTTAGAAAAGAAATTTTTTTTTGAAAAAAAACAAACTTATTGACAAAAATTATCAGGGAAAAAAACACTCCATAAAAGACAACCCAAAGAAAGCGAAACAGTGCTGTAAGATTGTAAACGAAATAAGTAGTTTGAACTACCAACCAACACAAAGTTTTGCAATTAATTTGAATTAGAGATCATAAAGGTAGTCTTCGCAAGTCAGTCAGGAAAAACCACAGCAGGAATTACATAGATCGTAGGTATAGATTTAGCCATAATCTTAATAATAACGAACTAAAAGAACGGACCAGAAATTTATACAATACTAAAACTAATCAAAACAACTAAGAGAATCTTTACTAAAGGACGATTAGAAAGCCTACATTAACAGAACAAACCTGGAAGTTGGAAGCGGCTTGACGAAGAACCGCGTGACCTTGAAGCAAACCCGAGGGAGCTAGAAGCTTGAAGAAGAGCTGCGTGTGGTCCTATTTTTTGAGGAATTGCGGATATGGTGACCAACTATAAGATTTTCTAATCCTATTACAATTTAGGATATCGACCGAAAAAACAAAGATTATAGAAACCAGGAGATATCCTTTTCCTAAACCTAACACAAAGCAGTAATTGGAAATTGCCTAATTGAAATACATAACAAAATTACGAAGACACCCAAACGAATTTTGCACTCTCAAAACCACCACCAAGTCGATTATTCAAGGATTGAGGGCAGCAATTTTAAATGCAGCTTCTACGGCGCCGAATCCGGGACAGAGACTAAAAATAAAGAATCAAAAGTTGTACTCCCTCCATTCAAAAATTTATGTCGCTGGAGTAGTTTCACAAAGTTTAAGGAGACAATAAATATTTAGTTAAAATATTAAACTACCCTTATTTATTCCCAATACAATTCTAGTTCTAATATCATTTAGTTCTAATACACTTCTACTTTAAATACAATCACAATTTTCTATGTTGGGGCAATGTTGGAAGAAGTTGACAAAATATACCTAGGTATACAAAAACGGCATCTATTTTGAAAAAAATTAATTTTTCTTCAACGACATATATGTTGGAATGGAGGGATTAGTTAAATTTCCACTACCACCTCCATATCTAATTGTTTTCCGATTACAGTTAATTGAACAACTAACTGTTATTGTGCAATTGCTTTTAATTAGCAGTATAGGACTAAACCATAGTGGTTATTATATCCATGATCTATTTTCATCTTTTGAAAAATATTTCATTCCCATATTACATGGAAGAATGTGTGTTCTTGGTGGAATATCATTAGATTAAACAAATTTGATAGAATCATCAATGAAAACATAGAACTTGATGATGAGAAAATCGTCCAAATTTGAACAAAGACTTATACGCTTTAACTTACTTTATATTCGAAATATAAAAACCATTTAACATATTTATTAAAGTAACATTTCTTCTTTTTCCCATTATATTCATTACTCCCCATCCTTTTTTTTTTGTGCGGCGGTAATCCTATTACAAAATCCATTTTATACTGATCTCCATTATGATATCAATATTTTTTCCGGCCTTAATCATTTTAGATCCGAACTCCCTTTGTAGTCATACTATGTTTTGGCTTTAAAATTGGATGTATGATTATGTGAACAATAGTCATAGATTTAAGATCATTTCCTAAATGCAATCGCTGGATGATTTGGAAATCTATATATCATTATATATACTAAAGGAAAAAAAGATAATCGACACGTGTCGCTTATTGAGACCACCAAGTCTCAATTAACACGTGTCATTTGCTAATTAGTTGATCATTAATCAGTTAAAATTTTTTGTAAATAGTCAATAAATTATTTACAACTCCCTCCGTCCCACAAAAATAATCCAATTTAATAAAAAATCTTGTCCTAAAAAAATAGTCCAGTTTAACAAAAGTCAAAATTCATTGAATTGAAATGACTTAAATATCCAAAAGAGTAGTGGTATGAAAAACAAGGCCCACTTTCTTTGATTTTTATTTTTTTTAGTTTTCTCTTATTTTTGCAATTGATTATATCTTTTAATACATGAATAATTAAAAAATGTGTTATATATCAAATTAATCTACGTAATGAGATCTTTCCATCAAGATCCATTGTCAATATTTTTTGAGATAAAAACTTTGATCAAATTTAAGTTGTAAAATAAATGCATATATAGTTAACTTTTATAGAAATAATTAGAAGGGGCATTACTGAAAGTTAGGGGAATGAAATGAGTTGTACATTTGGTGTGTTGACCAAATTAAAAAAGTTATACAGTTTCAAACTGAACTATTTTTGTGGGACGGAGGGAGTATATAAGATTTTTACAGATATTACAAATTCCTGATTGTGAGCTTGAAAATGAATATTTTCGAAAATTGTTGAGAAACTCCCGACTTCAAAAGTCCTTTCATTTACGAGTTTAAACTTTCAACCTATTGTCATTTTGACCCTTAAAATTTCATTTGTGTGCTATTTAGTTTTCAAGTTTATCGATTTTACATTTTCAAGGACGATTAATTGTGTCTCATATTTTATTAGAACTACATCTAATCCCCAAAGTTCACT